CCGCCGCCCCTTCCCTGCGCGCCCGCCCGCCCCCAAAGGTGTTGTGCAGACTTTTCCCCCGGGAGGGTGAGATTTATGCGCTGCATTATTGCTCCTCTCCTCCCCCCTCAAAGCAAGATGGACTCTCTCGTCTCTCTCTCTCACTCACTCTCTCCCTCTCTCTCGTTCTCTCCCCCTCTCCCTGTGTCTTGTCAGCCTTCAAGATCGACATTTTGTAACTAGGATGCAAACTTGATGGTGACCGGGGGCGGGGGGCGAGGAGGGGAGACGGGAAAACCCTGGGTCACGGCGGTCTTTCTCCATATTTAATACCTTTTCTTTCCACCCCACCCCGGAGCCCGGATTCCGGTGGCCCTACACTTTGCACGGGCGAGGGTGGGCGGAGGGCGGGCGGCGGCTGCGAGCGCCGCTCCCCCCGCGGCGGCCGGGGGTCGCTCCCCGCGGGCTGCGGTGGCGGAGGGGCGGCGGGGCGGCCGCAGCGCTCCGGGCGGCTCGGCCGGGCTCTGCCGGGGGGCAGCGGGCATTACCTGAAACTGTGCTCCAGCCGTGCAGCCTTCGTCCGTCGCTCTGTCTGTCTCTTTCCCCTGGTCGTTCTCGTACCTGCGGTCTGGCGGCTGATTCTTCTTGTTAATTTTTGCGTTGTTTGGCTTATCCACGCGCGGGGATTGATCGCTCACTTGTATAAGTTCCCGGGTGGTTTTGTTATGTATGCCTCTTTGCAGATGGTGGTCAACTTTCTGTCTTTTATTTTGATAGTACATGCGAGTATTACTGTGTGTGCATGTAAATAATTACGTGATGCATCTCTGTGTGTATGTATGTGAGTCTGTGCGCGTTCATAAACATGCATCCGTGTGAGAGAGAGAGAGAGAGAGACAGAGGAAGAACAACCCACCCTGCTGATGCACACTCAGATGATTTGCTCCATTTGCCCACTCCTAATGCCCTCTAAAGACACGGTGCATCTTTTGTTTGTTCCTTACGGTTTTCTGTTACTGTCATCTTGTTTTGATGACAGCTTAGCTGGGATGGGGGTGAGGAGGAAGCAAGTTTCAAGTTTTGGGATCTCTCCTCTTGTTGGTGATGTGGTGAGTTGCAATATTGTAAAATCATGGTGTGCTGATTATGTGCCTTTATTTGATACTTTATAGGTCACTATCACATGACAAAGACTTTGAGACAGCTTCATCTTCGTTGGTCTGTAATTTCCATTTGCCTTTCTGGGTAAGTATGTGAACTGTACACATGAAAAAAGAACTTGGTTGTTGATAAGACAGAGGTCCTCGTGCTGCCACTTTATATGAGGAAGATGCTTGATATGGTTTTAGCACCTCAGAAAACATGTCTTCTCCAGGTGCTAATAGCTACTGCTAGAATACAAAGTTTGTATGTAGGGGTTCCTCCAGGTAACTTGGAAATTAAAAGGTTGTGCATATTCAGAGCTCTCTTCACTTTTTTTTTTTTAAGTGGTGGTTTTTTCCCTTAAACTTTGTAAAGACAGCCAGCTGATTGACTTAGGGCAAAAGTTTTAGACCAGAGTAACATTAGAATATGCAAAGTGCAACACACAGGTCAAAAATGTAATGAGTCCTTTTAAAATTCAGTGATAGAAAAGTTTGAGAATGTAAACTGAATAGGTAATTAGAAAATCTGAAGGTCAAGAATCAATGACAAGTTTAGCAGAACTGTAATGCTGATGCAACAGGAGTGCGTTCAGTTTTAACACGTAAACTGAGAGCTAATTAGAGTTCCATCCATGCTCATTCTATGTAACCGTTTCTGCTTTTGGCATTGATGAATGCAGATACCAGTAAATTTGAAATAAGTATCTTACTTACTTAATTTACTAGTATTCCTACATTTTCAGGTACACACCAATTTTTTTTTAATCTGCATGCTGGGAAAAGTTATGATAACTTTTGAAGGGTTTGACACCTTTTAAGCTGAAGTGGAAGTGGTAGTTTAAAGAAGAAAGAGGTTCTAAATTTTTGGAGTCACATTTAAAAATGACATAAAATGAGTGGCATTTGGAGCACTTCTCATACAATTGCCCATGCTGTCACTGACCTGCATTTGGTCCAAAATGGGAAGTGGGAGGTAGCATATCGCCTTGGTACTATTCTGCACATAATTAAAAACAAGACAGGACATGTATTTGGGGTAAGTTTAGTACTCATAAATGCAAATGATTAATAACATACTCCTGACCTTTTGCAGACATAGGATAAGTGATGGTCCCAAACATGCTGACTTGAAGGGGCTGTTGGGAGCAGCTGTTCTGGTATGATATTATAACCAAAAAGCTAGTGTTGAGGCTGGGGTAACCACTGTGGGCAGTTGGTTCGAAGGGAGAATTCTGCTGTTCTCCAGTTCCTGCAGATTTACACTCAAATTTCAGGTTTTTGGGTTTTGTATATGATGTGGTTGGTATGTGCAGGTCTCAGAGTGTAAACACCAAGTTCAATTACTGAATTTTTTTGTGACAGACTAGTTGCATAGGAGAATATTGCTTTTGGTTTTATAGCATTACTGACAAGGAGTGTGTTCTGTGAAGAGCAATTTTTGCAACAGTTTTTTCTAAGTAAAAATGCATGTGGAAATTCAAAACTGGCAGATAGGCTTCAAAATGTTGATCAGGGCTGAATACAAATACTCTGATTTCTGAACTTAATTTTCTGTGTTTTCAGTTAAGAGTCACATGAGAGTACTGTAAGTGCTAAGGACATTTTCTTTATTTCGAGTAATAGTAAAGGATGCTGAACAAGAGTAGCTCAGAGACCTTGACTCAGGTCTTGAGTCATTATCTGGTTTTAGTTTTGTTATGAAGTCTTTTGGATGCATGGAATGTTGATCTGGCAGTGAAGTGGTGATCACAATCTTCCCACATTTGGAGAGAAGTGGACCTTGGTTTTGTGCATCGTGCTAAATGTATGTCTCACCTGATGTTGAACTGGCTTGAACAGAGAAAAAGGTAAGGTATCATTTTTACCAAAAAAGCATAATAGGAGCTTTAGAGGAAGAGAAGAAATACATTTGCTTGTAGCTTAAAAAAAAGGCAATGAAAATAATGCACCTAGTTAAGGTGAGAATAGAGATGTTGTTAAGTTTGTCCATGGCTGGAAATCTGTGCTTTGGGGAGCTTTTATTTTTGTAAAAGGGAAGATTTCTTTTGTTACACAGTTCTCACTAAAGTAACTGTTCATGGCTGGATTTTAGTCATTTGGTCCTGACATACAGGAGTTCTGGTTTGCTTGGCGAGTGCCAATGCAGGGCTGGTGTGTCACAAGATAGAAGGTGGTGAGCTGCTTTGCAGGGGGCCTTGTGGATGTTTCAAAAATTGACCCAAGCTCTCAAAAGTTTGTTGCACACTGCTGTCCCTCTTGCCACAGCAAGCTGCTAAACCATGTCAAGCAGGTATATAATTTAGCAGAAACGTAGCTGGTTTCTGTGTGGAGGTAAACTCAGAGTATTTAAGAAGCTTCCCCTTGACCCTTCGGAGTTTTTTGGGGGCTGCTTGCTGTAAGCTCATTGCCTGCAAAACTTCCATTGGCTTCTGCAGGAGGTTTATTTAGGAAAGGAGTGTAGGAGTGATGGTGAGAGGAATTTGTCCATGTTTATTTTTCCTTTCAAGGAAGAAAACCTTTCTCTTTCGTAGCTGTTGTGTGAATAATTAAAGATATTAAATGTCAGTTTTCCACATAAAATATCAGAGGTAATCGTGCCATTATTTTATAACTAATGTTTTTCCTGTTCATCCAGAATGCTCTTAATACACTTTGTTCGTAAATTAGTGGTTCTGTAATTGGCAATCCTGTAAGCATGTGAATATGTTGAAGGAGATGACAAGTCTTGTTAAATTTACTGGTATGGTTGCTTGCATTGAGAGCTTAAAGTTCTTCCAGGTTGCTGCCACTCATGGCTGAGGATGCGCAGTGTCTCTGGAGCTCATGAACATGGCATTAGGCAGGGCAGTCCTCTGGCACAGAGCTGGGGAAAGAGTGGTGTGGAGAGAGGAGAACTTGACTGGGTGAGCTGGGCCGAGGTGCTCTTCCACCACATGTAGTGGTGGAAAAGGTGCAGGTGAGGTTGGTGAGACCTGTGGTGTGCAAGGCTCTGCTGTGATGTGAAATTTGTAAATACACCTGCAGTGAAATTTGGATGCCTGGGAGGTGAGACACTGCTTCTCTTTCAACAGTGCATGGCTTGTGTAGTGCTCAGATCCCCCTCTTTATCCGAAGGCGGTTCCTCGCTGGAGGAAGGTACTATAAATTAAAATAGGAGCTGAAGTGAAACTCGCATTTTATTTTTTGAGTGTGTTGCAGGCTGTCTCTGTGAGCTCTGGCAAGTGATGTAGTCAAAACCAGAAGCTGCTTTCCAAATTTTGGACCCAAGTTGGACTTTCTGTGCCCTGTTGTGATGATGGCCTGCTGTGGCCACCAGTGGAATCAGCAGCACAGCTTTGGCCTGCTGATGGCTTCCAAGGTCTTTACTTTTAGAAGCATAGCCTTCTGTCCCTTGGTCACTTCTAAATGGAGAGTGACAGTACTTCCCTGTGTCATTAAATCATATGGCATCTCTATATTGGGACAGTTTGCATGAGTGATTCAAGTTTTTCAAAGCAGTTTAGATACTGTTGTAGCTTACTTTAAACATAATAATTTATGTTTTCATTATTATTTAGGGGTCTATAAAGCTGGATTGAACTTATTATCATATGTATTTCAAAATATTCTTGAGAAGAAATAGGTTAAAGTCATCCTTCTAGCTTCTATAATGTTATTTCTTTTCCTTGTACCATCCCTTTCCTGGGATTTTATTGCCAGAAGCCTTTTTGTTCAGTTTCATGTCAAAAGATTATTAGGACTTACTTCCTTTTTATTATTTTGTTTTGTTGGTTTTTTTTTAAGATCAGTAATGATACAGTGTTTCTGTCTGAGAGTGATGGGGTGAGTGTGGTCCTGGTGGACATGGGAATTTCACAAAAGGCTCCTACAGTTTTGGGTAGTTTTGGAAATGGTAGTATCTGAACCAGCCTAAGGATTACTCTGAATTTAAAAATGGATTGATGGGCTGCTGTTTTGCATTGCTTGAAAAAGAAAAAAACACATATTATTTTCTCAATAATGGTGATATTATTAATAATTGGTGGTTGTAGGCCTTGCCTTATTTATGTACTTCTGTCCTGTTTGGTGAAGTACACAAGCCATACTGTAATCACACACCTCAAGATCAGGAACAATCATTTTTTCCCAGTTTTAGGCATCTGAGATGAAAAGCTGTGAAGGAGCGTAGGCTTTCCTGCAGTCACTTAGCAGGTTAGCAGTAGCAGGGAATGGAATAAAATCTGCATCTGACTCCTTAGTTTTGTGTCCTTTCCCTTGCTCTGAAACTTTCGTGGTAAGTGCTTGTCTTGAGATGTGAGTAGACTCACTGAATTCTGTGCCACTTGGACATCTTCTGCCAAATACTCCACTTTCATTCATAATGCTGTTTAAAAAAAAATCCCACCTTCAGAATGTTGTGAAGTTACTGACTTACAATTTGGTTATATTTATTGACAAGACAGTGTAAAGTAGGAGGAGAGCTTACTTAAGAGCTTTTGCCAGTAAACATGGTATGTAAATCGCTGTTTATTGCAGTATTTATCACCCTATTTATTTAATACTAACTTGGTAAAGTTAATGCAAGGAAGAAAATTATTCTTCATAGTGATGTTTTTAAAATGTGATTAATGTGAAATGGTTCTTCACAATTAAATTATTTTTTCATATTCGAAATCTAATGTAAAATGACAGCTGATTTTCTTATAAAACATGGAATTGACAGAAGCAACTACTTTGGCACTCTGGCAGTATTGTGATAGAGTAACTTGCTTACTGTACTTTTATTTCTAGAGACAGTAAACATATGTAAGATTTTCAGATTTTCTGTTTACCGGCATTTTGTTACCTGAAATAAAAATTTGATGTAAAAATTGAAGGTGTATTTGAGGAGTAAAGCACACTTTACTTAATGCCTGGGTGTAGACCTATTTGTAATGTTGTCACAATGGTAGCAGTGTTTTATTATTTCTAATAAATTTAATTACTTAAAAATGAATCAACAAAGAGGAAAAACATGGTTTTGACACTTTCCAGTGTTCGTGCTTTTTCCTTTATAGCACACAAATGCATAATGTAATAGCAAGTCCTTATGAGCGTGGACAATTCAGCATGTGAAAATAA